CAAGTGCTTCAACGACCCTCTAAAAGGATACAAATGACCTGCTGTCTGCAAAGAATATAAATTCTTCCATTCCCCACTATTCTGTCAGAGCTGAAGAAGCTCCTTCGATGAGAAGCGAAATGTCTTCAAAGAAAAACAAGGAAGCCCAGTTGCCTCCTGAAAAAGCACCTTTGGGACAACCTATTCCAGGGAGTTCGTGCTTGCAAAAATTCTTCCGCATCCCGCCATAGGCCATTTCCCAGATTTCAAGATAGCAGAAACTCAACCGATGAGGCTTCCTCCCCCTCGGAAAATGCAATGCAAGATTATCCTGTTCCTCTCTAAGGTTATTCCCTTGCTGAGTCGTGCTATCCAAAGTGTTACGGCTCAGATCTATAAGGAGACTCTAAGGGACGAGAACTCAGCCGCTTGTTTTCGCTGCCGGTAGGCAAAAACGGAAGGGGAAAGCGCCGCGTTAGAGCACCAGAAAGGAAGCTCAGCCAATACCTGCGAAGACAACATTCGCACACGCCTCCGAGGCGCTTCTTGCTGACGATGTAAGCGAAGGGCGCCGCGCGGTACAGCAACTGGCCCGGTTTCACCGCTTTCAAGAGACGCAAGCCGTTGCCTTTGCCCGGGCTTGCAAATTTTTCCATTGCCGCTCCGAAGAGCAGGGAACGAACGGAAAGGCTGGCAGACTAGCACGCTTCCCGCCTCGATCCCCACGTGACGCCGCTCTGCCTGCCACCGGAATCATCTTTCCTTCGAGCAAAAAAAAAAAAAAAAAAAAAGAGCCCGCCTTCGTCACGTTCCCCGGTGCAAGCTTTCCTCGCGCCGTTATTAAAAACGCAGAAAAGGATTGTTATAAATAGTATTTAAATAGTAGCATGTGGAGCATACAGGACTGCGGATGTCGAACTCTTAAGGAGGACATGTTTATGTATGAAGTGTTCTGTGTTCTTTGAAATTAATGGGGATAAGTTATTTGACCTTAACAAGTTCAATTTTGTCTCTTGCTTTTAAACGTGTTTACTTTTCAAACAAGCAAACAAAAAACTCTTAATTCCACTCCGATAGCAAATAATACAACGCATATCTCCCTGAAGTGGTAGGAAGCCTAAATTAAGATTGTTAGATTAAAAACTCCCAAGTATTAATATAAATCTCTATAGGTTTTGAGATAGCCAGTTCAGTGAAGTGATAAGTATTAGGCTAGAAACTGGGAGAACATAAATTCAGCCAGCATGATGACCTTGGGCCAGTCATCCATTCTCAGCCCTAGGAAGCAGACAGTGGCAAACCATTTTTTAAATTTTGTCAAGAAAGGTGTAGGGATTTGGTCAGGCAATTGTTAGGAGTCAACATTGATACAAATGTACTGCTAATGCCCAGAAAGAAATTATTGTTCTTGTATACTTACTAAAACTATTTTTTTAGAATTATCTTTAAGATCACTATAATTGGAAAAATTCAACCCTAATCATAACCTTAACCTTGGTCTGATTCCAACCCTAATCATAACCTTAGTATGCCAAATGGAAAGGTCTCTAACCTTCATTTGAATATGTCTAGGAAGAGTCCCCCACTTCTCTTGATAAATGTTTCCAATATTGAACCATTCTCATTCAGTTGAAATCTGCCCTCTTGTAGCTTTAAAGACTTTATTCTCTTAACTTGCCATCTGAAACAAGAAAAAAATGCCTGGATCTGGATGGGTTTTTTTTAAGTGGCATCTTTTCAGCTACTGGAAGATTGCTATCATGTAATCTCAATCATAGCCATATAAAATAATTGCCTTTTATTTTAGACTTTTAATTTTCAAAAAAATACTCCTTTTACAAGTAGTATGATTTCAATTGTATCTATCATGTAGTCTGCTTAGGTAGCTTGTGAAAACTTCATCAGTGGCTCAAATTGTAAAACTGGATAAACAATCCTTGCCCCCAATAAGTTCCATGGAAGCCCCCCCTCCCCAAAAAAGGCCAAGATGGTGACTAGCACATGACTATAGTTCCCTCGTTTTGCATGTGAAGAATGGAAAAGGGGTGAAGTTTCAATCATCATGGTGTCATCTTTTTTTAAGCTCTCATGTCCCTAGTCAATTTCAACTGAATTCATTCTCATTATTTGTGTTCGCTATTGTGAAAAGCAATTGATTCTCTGTGTATACTTTTTTTCCTTTTATCAATTCTTGCCTTGCAGATTAACATCAGGGGTCATTGGCTGCTTATAATTGATTAGGACTTTGTCTTAACCTTTTTGCCTACTTTGTGTGCTTAGTCATAAAAGAAAAGAATGAAGAAATGTTTCATCAATAAGGAATAACAAGTTAAAATATTTTATTAAAAATGAAAACATTCACAATCAAATTATAAAGTTCTCGAAAAGGAGATCTCCATTGTAAAATGTTCTCTTCAAATGAAAGTATTAAAATAGCAATTCAGAATAAGCAAGGAGAAATGAAACATTGGAACTAAATGTACATAAGAGTTTGGATTATAAGCAATAACAAAACCCAGTTACCTTTTTGTTTTAGTTAATATTTGCCTTATTTGCATCTGTCCTGAAAAAAATCCAAATTTTAATTATTTTTAATTGCTTAAGTTTTCTGGAAACCAACAAAAGAGCCAAAGAAATAGGAGGCATCAAAATAGGTTTTAGAATCATCTAAATGACTCAAGTAGTTACCAGCATTTTTTTAAATTTAAGTCAGAGCTAAAGAAACCTAAGAATCCTAATGTCTGCATGTCTCTCAAACACTCACTCTGATGCTTCCTGGAAATAATATTGGTTTTCTCCCAAACATACAAATAAATCCCAATTAGAATTAAGGAGAAAAAGAATTTTCTCCCAGAACCAGGAAAATACAGAAATCCCATGAATTATGTACTTTTACCTACTTCAGCCTGTACTTTCTCAAAAGCACAAACTGTAGCTAGCAAATGTGGCCATCTCTAAATAAAATATTAATGGTATTCATAGATAAATTTGATAGTATGGTCTTATTCATAAGTAATTGTAAGCTAGAATTACAGTAGCAGTTTAATATACTAAACCAAAAAGGATCTTGAAGCTGGGACTTTGTTCTCAACTTTATTTTCTTCATTTATTTATCAAAGTTTATATTGCTGTAGTATGGGGAAACAGACTGATCATGACAAATCAACCAAATTGTCTTTTTTGATAAGAATGACAATTTAACTAGAAGCAGACAGTGGACAGTTTAACTTGTATTCAACAAAGTCTCCCAATAAAATGCTAGAAGAGAGCATGGCAAAATATGAACCAGACTACTGGTATTATATCATTGGATGAATATTGAGTTGGAAAGAAGAACTGAGTGGTTACACAAGAGCTCCATTCTAGGCTTTGTACCCCTGACCATATAACTTGAATGAAAGATTAGAAAATAGAATCAATTTGTAGATGACACAAAAAAGGGAAAATAAACAGAGGACAATATCAAGCTTAAGGAGATAGCAACTTATCAAACTGGAATAAATGAGTAGAAACCAGCAAGATAAATTTCAATAGTGACAAATGCCAAGTCTTATATTTGAGTAGGAAAAATAAAATATACTGGGCGGCACTACATGCAAAAAAGAATCTGTGTGTTTTGATTAAAGGTTAGATGCTGAATATAGGCAATAGCATATAACTGCAAAAAAAATGCAATCCTAGACTCTACCAAGAGAAGTCATTGCTTTTCTCTAGTTTACATTGATTTTGATCTGGAATTCTGCATCCAGTTCTAGGCACATTTTAGAAAGGATAGTGATAAATGTGTGTCCAAGGAATAGCAAGGAAGGTAAGGGGACCGAGGAGGAGACATTTATGAGGAACAACTGGAAGTTGCTTAGTCTGGAGAAGATTGCAAACATCAAGTACAGGTAGTCCTCAATTCACTACAACAATAATTGGGACTGGAATTCCTTTAGTAGATGATAAAGCACATTTACTAAGTCGCAAAGCACAACTGCATCACTTAGCAATGGCAATCCCTATAGTCCTGGTTGTCATTAATTAAATCCCAAGTATTAGATGAAGCAATTTCTTCACAAAGGTTCCAGGTAGGAGGGAGTGTGCATGGTAGTGCCGGGGAAGGTCAAGGAGAGTGCAAGAGGCACAACACAGCATGAGGGTGGATCAGGAAGAGTGCAAGAGATTATGTGCAAGTCAAGGAGGATTAGGAAGGGTGTACAGGAGCAGAAGTAAATTGCTACTACAACTTCAATGGATTCTGTGGATGTTTGAGAAAATGAACAGGCAATCTTTCCTGATGTAAAAGTAAAATTATTTATTTTAGGTTGTCTCTGGTATTTGCATCTGACTTTGTGCAAAGTCCACTCTTAGTTTTGCAATCTTTAAACCAATTGAGCTTCAGACAATACTTATGTGAATCTGTATTAAATCTTCCTGGAAATTGTCCTCAACCTAGACCTATTTGTTCAGTGACCATTCAAAGTTACAACAGTGCTGAACACCTCATGTTGATGACCAGTCCTTAAGAGTTCTGGCCATCCCAACAATCGCATGATTGCAATCTGGGTGCTTGGCAACTGGTTCACACATATAACCAGTTGCAGCCCCCTTATGATCATGTGTCACTATTTGTGGCCTTTCTTGTGGCTTCCCCAGAAAGTCTGGGTAAAGTGGCTGAGAAGCTCCAATGTCACTGGGATAACTCTTCCTCATCCACACACCTTCTCTTAGCCCCTCTTTGCACTCCCTTTATGACCACATCATTTAGCAGAAATTCCAATCCCAACTGTTATCACGAACAAAGGACTGTTTGCATTACTTTGTGGCTTAGCAGCATCATGTCATACAATATACAAATGAGATTATATTGCTAAGATTAGCTTGTCCTATAGGTAAATCATTCTACTTTGCCACACAATTTGATTTTTTACATAGCAATGGAACAGTCAGGCAATATGCATTCCAAGCAATTTAGATGTACCATACCAATTTAGATGTACTGAATAGGCAGGGCCCTAAAATTCAAATCTAAAACAAAATAGTTTACATGGTCTAATTTTAATTGCTGACACAACTTAAAAGACCAATTATTTTGAAAACATACTTATGTTTTGTAATATTTAAAAACATTTCTGATGGAATATCAATATGTTTCATGCATTGGAACTACAATTTTTATCTTCACATACATTTTCCATCTCACCTTGCCCTATGCCCAATGGACAATTTCTTAAAATTCCCAGTATTTTATTATATAACCATCTTTAAATGTTACATCTGAAGCAACCTGATCCTATAAACTAGTAGGAAACAACTCCCGTTTTTAATTAAGAATTGCTTATTTTATATAGTATAAGCTATAGTATACTATAACTTATATAGTCATTTTACAAAGTGGGATACAGTAAAGGCAAGATACAGATTAAACAAGTTGTATTTAAGATTAAACAAAAATGCTCCCCTCTCCCCCATGTTTTTCATTCACTGTTACTCTGGTAAAATACTGATTTAGAAGATACTATGTTTTATACAGAACTGATGGTGTACATATTGTTTTCTAATCTTTGCAGTTTCCAAGATACAGCAACTTCAGAGTTGATCATTTAGGATCCATTATATTTCCTTGTTTGCATAATTTAAATTTTCTAGAACTATCATCCTCGTACACATAGGGATTATCTTCTTTGTAAGATTTCAAGGTATGTGGTCCTCTGTATTGTATTTCAGTTCATAAAAAAACATAAATTAAATAGTCTTCATTTTAAAGAACTACATTGTCATCTGCCAATAAATCAATGTCACAGAACAAACTCCGATCAATTTGATTAGACTGTTCCATACGTTCAAAGAGAGATTTGTATGCCTCTGGGTATAAACTACCAGCTGTAACCTCTTCTGGAATCTCCAAATCTCTCAGCAAGTTCCTTGCATTCTCGTAAGTCCATAAACTGAAACAAAAATCATTAAAAAATTAGGTATAATTTAATTGTTAACGATCAAGTGGGCTCATTATGTTCTTAAAACCTTGCCTCCAAATATGATACCTGAAAGTATCTGTATGCTTTCAAACATCTGCCTTAGCAATTGCCTAACTGGCTCACCTGATTTTATTTAGTTTATTTTAATTTCTTAAAAAATTAAATGGGAAGCCAAACTGATATTAAACAAAACATCAATTTCATGTACCCTACTTACTGGCAAGAATTTTTTTGAAGTCCACCATAGATCCGGATACACTTTTTGACAATAAAAAATTCAGCCAATGTTTGTGCCTCACCCTGCTCCCCAAGCTTTAGCTGTGTGTGCTGATACCTTGGGAAGAAAAGGCTAGATTTGGCAAGGAAAGGAAAGCCAAAAGCTTCACCAGCTCCTCAGAAAAAGATGTCTGCTTATGAAATTTTGTCACATGGCCCAGCAATGAAGCGTCTTGTCCTCCTTCCATAACTCAACCTCTTGAGCTCTAGGAAAGGTAGTGATGGAGGCAGGAACATGTGGAACCCAGTGGACTGGCAAAGCAGGCCTAGTGCCTGTGAGGACCTAACAGGACAGAAGGTAAATAGATGGAAGGTGTTTCAGCATCTCTTTGGGTTGGTTGTAATGGTAAATAACCCCAGATATAACTTTGGAAATGGGTTGTACATTGGGGGCAAGTTGTAATAACTTTGAATCATCACTAAGTGATCTGTCATAAGTGAGGACTACTTATACTGTAAAATTTTCAAATTTCTATGAGAGAGAGAGAGAGAGTCTGCTATTTTTCAGTTGAGGAAATTTAATTTTACTTACTTCAATTTGTTGTGTAGCTTAGTTGAGGCTTTACCAAAACACTGCTTTACCATCGAAATAAATGTTTTTGAATTAGCAGTTGTCAAGAAGTCTGTAAATAAATCTTTGCGTGGTGTTAGTTGTACTAAATATAAGAGTTCATTCTGCAGAAGGCAAAAGAATAAAAAAATCTTAATTTAACAATGAACTCAAATGCATTTTAGTCAAGTTAATAATTTTTATAAACTTGTACATCAGATTAAACTTTTCTGAAAACTTCATTATGAATTTGTTAAAAAGAATGCCTATGCCCGTAATGGCAAAACTATGGCACACGTGCCACAGGTGGCATGCAGAGCCATTTGTGCCAGCACGCGAGCTGCAGGCAAACTTACCTCACTGCGCATGTGCGTGCCTCACAGCTGATTTTTGGCCGGTTTGAGGGCTTTTTCGGCCTCTCAAAGGCTTGAGGAAGGCTTCTTCAGACTTCTACAAGCTTTGTAGCCCAAAATCTAATGCCATTTCATCACTTCCTGTTTTTCTGAAAATACCGGAAGTGACAACACAGGGCTAGATTTAGGCCTACAAAGCTTGTAGAAGCCTGAAGAAGCCTTCCTGAAGCCTTTGGGAGGCCAAAAAAGGCCTCAAACCGGCCAAAAATCAGCTGTGACGCGTAGTGCAGGTAACGGGGCGGTGGGGGGTGGGGTGGGATTGTGCGCGCATATGTAGTGGGCGTGAGGGGACGCATTGCCTTCTGGGTGCTGGCACGTGAGCACGAGCATTCAATCACACACAATTTTTGGCACAGGAGCCCAAAAAGGTTAGCCACCACTGGCCTATGCATACCCATTTTTCACAGAAAAATGTGAAATAACAGTTCTTTAGTGTAAGCTATGTTTGTTGGCCTTCACATGCATTCAATTCTTCCCAAGAAGCTAGTACTTCATAACATATCAGCATAATGTATGTACAAATCCAAGAAGTCTGGCCTTTTGCAAGTGACAGATGGAAATGTTGTCAATGCATAGATTTTTAAAGTGCTATCCAAGATTTGCCGATAACCTAGTGTGTTAATAGCCACTGGGACCACCACAGCCAATTTATGCCATAAACTTTCATTTGATATTTTGTGATTTTCTCTAATTCTTTGTCTTCTACTGTATTATCTCCTGGTATTACCACATCAATTATCTACAATTTCTTTCAACCATAGTTAAATCTGGTGTGTTATGACCAAGAGTTTACATTTGGAAATGTCAAAAACTACTTACTATGGTTTATGATAAAATCAGGAAGATATTTTGACTAGGTTTGATATTTTTATCCAACTATTATTATCATTTGTCACACAGCCTGATGTTCAGACAAAATTTGTATTTTTAGATACCTTTCAAGTTCATCCCGAGGACCTGTGATAGGTAGATGTTAAAAGTATTGTCATAGGATGTAAGGATTCTGAGTAAAGCTGCCTTTTGCAATTGACTAATGGTCATTTTGTCAATGCCGATGGTAACATTAATTTGCTACCAATCTCGTGGTTCAAGGTAACTCTGTTGCCTAATTAACAGAATAATAGAGTTGGAAGGAACCTTGGAGGTCTTCTAGCTCAACCACCTCAATGATACAGAGTGTCAAGAAGGACACTCTGTACTATTATAAACAAGTGGCTGTCCAAGAATAGAGCACTCACAATTTCTGAAGGCAAGCCATTCCACTGGTTAATTTTTCTCACTGTTAGGAAATTTCTTAGTTCTAGGTTGCTTCTTTTCTTAATTAGTTCCCATCGTTTCTTGTCTTGCTCTGATGCTTTGGAAAGTAGATTGACCTTCTTCTTTATGACAACCCCTCAAATATTGGAACACTGCTATTATGTCACCGTAGTCTTTTTTTTTTCACTAGACTAGACAGATCCAATTCCTACAACTATTCTTCATATGTTTTAGCCAAACTAATATTTGTTGGTCTTTTCTGCACTCTTTCCAGTCTCAAAATCTTTTTTATAATATGGTGATCAAATTGGATGCAGTATTCTAAGTGTAATTTTACTAGGGCTTTATAAAGTGATGCTCATACTTCATATGATCTTGATTCGATCTCTCCGTTAATGCAACCTAGGACTGCACTGGCTTTTTTGGCTGTTACCACATGCTGCTGGCTCATATTTAAGTGACTGTCCACTAGGACTTCAAGATTTCTCTCACAGTTACTGCTAATGATCTAGGTTTCATCTAATCTGTACCTGTTTGGCTTTTCTTGCCTAAGTGAAAAACCTTACTTTTCTCAACGTTTTGTTAGATAGGGCCCAGTGTTCAAGTCTGAAGGTCTTGAAATCCACCTGGATCTTGAACCTATTTTCTGGGGTAACTTCCAGATTATATATTGATATGTACATGTGGTATTTCTTGGACTATGAACATCTTCATTCCCCTCTCCATGGCAATGAATATGATGTTTATTGTTAAATTATAGCAAACCATGGAAAGATTGCAATAACAATTTCTAGTAGGAAGCCTCCTAACACAGGTAGTCTCAACTTATAATCGTAACTGAGCCCGGAATTATGGTCGAAAATATTTGTGGTCATACATCATGGCACCCACATGACTAGAAATAATTTTTTGGCCTTTCTCGCAGCAATCATTAAGAACATACCACAACTGTTAAGCAAACCTATTCATTTGAATGACCATTTTTCTGCTGGCTTCCAAGCAAATTGTAGTTATGTTACTGCAGAACATCATGACCAATTGTAAAGCTACCTGCCTGGCAAGCAATCACATAATTGTGGGGTGTTCCAGAACTATTTATGATGGTCGGAGTGGTTTATGGGCCATAAAGCATCTATTCCATGGCTATCATATCTTCCAACATTTGTAAAATGATTGTTTGTTAAGTGAGGACCACCTATATAGGTTTTGACCCCAGCAAAAAATACTTTTGAGAACTGAAATTTGATATTAATTAAGTGCAAATAAAAATTATCCATTTTTCTCTAGAACAGAGAACTACAGAATTTAAATAGACATCCAAATCCATTATTTGGCTTTTTACATACAACTCCTTAAATCAAATTGGAGAGTTACTTTTCAAGAATCTCAATTATATGAGTCTGCGGAGGCAGAACTAATTGCATCTTGAAATTAATCTGTGGAGTCCCTGGTGCTCTCTGAGCTTGTTTTCTTGCAGATGTTTCATTATCCAAACTAGGTAACATAATCAGTGCTAGCTCTGGTACATAAAAATAATCACCCAAACATTCACACTGCACTTATTTTAGGACTGACAAATATTAAAAGCTTACCACACTATTTGATCTCGATGACTTTTTTCTTGAAGTAGTTAAAAATGAAGAGCCAGGCACCTAGAAGAGAAGAAACAATGAAAGTTAGTGTAGCTTTAAAATACTAGGGCCAAGATATGAAAGAAAGAATGAAGAAGCACTAAAATTAATTATATACTCAGCATTCTGAAGTTGGCTTTTACAAAGAGATTTTTACAATAGGTTTATACACAGAATTGAAGTCTATTTTTTATTATCTTGCTTCCCGTAGATTTCAGCAATAAATCTTCAGGGTACAGCAATCCTCCATCATAAATAAAACATAGTGTGATTATATACACAAGAACCCACTTATATTTCTTTGTGTAAGACTAAGAAGTTAGGCATTTTATTATTAACAAAAACAGTTTCAGAATGTATAGCATCTTGCCAAATGCAGGGAATGATAGCTAAAATGCTACAATCTCTTCTATGAGATGTTCTCATTGCATAGCTCACTGCGTTTGAAAACACTAACTAGGTTAAGAAACTTTTCCGAGCCACATCTTACAGTAGCATCTCCACACAAGAGCACATGAAAAAGGAGGTGGGGTAAGGTGGATATTATAATTTGTCAAGTTCCACATTACTATATAACACTTGACATAATAAAAATACTGTTTTCACATATCATTCATTTCAATAACCTGTTCCAAATTTTTAGTATCAAGTTAGTAATAAATGTGTAAGACAAGCAGTTTCTATTATTAATCATTGCATATACAAAATGCTCACCTTATGTAAAAGTTGAATATCACAAGCTGTTTGCCAAAGTACACTTAGTGCCTGGTAAAACTTTTTATCTGGAGGTTTTGCAACAAAAACCTGACAAAGGCAGAAGCATTATATTTACATTATATTTCTGATTTTATTATGAAAATCCTGAATGAACACTTGAAAGCCTCAGTGAGGCAAGAATCAAGGTATGCAAGACAACTTGTTGGAGATTATGTCGGATGTACCATATATTGCTTTTGTGTAGGTGTGTGTGCCTGAAAGTTATTATTGACTCTTGGCAATTGCCCATACAAGTCCTGTAGTATTCTTGGCAATAGGTGATAAATGAACTTTATTTTTTGGTAATATTTTCCTATCTTCTTTCTTATAGAAATCAATCACAGTTCTAAAAATACAAAAACTTGTGTAGAGTATAATAGTCTAATGCAATGGTGGCTAACCTTTTGGGGCTCCCATGCTGAAAACTGCATGCGTGCTTGCGTGCCAGCACCCAGAAGGCAATGTGTGTGGGAGGCCCACATGCCCCCTGCACATGTGCGCGTGAGCCCCCCACCACATATCTCTGTGTATGCGCACGAGACCTCTGCGTGCCCTGCACATTTTTGTGCATTCACATGTACCTCCCCCCGTCCTTCCATGCATGAACACCAGATACCCAACAATCAGCTGTCGGATGAGCCACACACACGCATGCAGAGTGGGGCTCTTCCGGGCAACCTCTTGCGTGCCAGCAGAAGATTCTCAACCCATCTCACAGGATTATTGTGGGGAAAATAGGAGGAAGAAAGAATATTATGTATGTTCACTGCCTTGATTAATTTATAAAAATAAAAAGTGGAATATAAATTAAATCTCAAAGTTGATGTATTAGCAAATTTTTATACAAACCTTGTACATTCTTTCACTGACAAACAAGTTTAATTCTATTCTTCCATAGTTGTATATAGAGCTGCATTCATATAAAAAATAAGTATATCTCCAAATAAAACTCCGTTCATCTTTTGTGGGGACAATTCCAACCACTTTTAGAGGAACATCTGTTTTTAAAGTGAATCAAGATATTTGAAAATTAAAATAGCCGCAATACAGTAATCTAATATTAAATTAAAAATTACTATAAGCATATGAGTTAGCTTCAGCAATATAACTATTAGCTTCGGGACTTTCATCTTGCAAGTTATGCTTTTTTTCATGAAAGCCCACCTCTTAATCAAAGGCCCTATTAGAGATTGAATTGGCAAGCAGAAATAGCATCGCTTTCATTGCTTATTTTATGTTTATGGACATCCTTCAAATTTTATTAACATCAAAAAAAGTTATGTAATCTTGCTTTAGCATGGTTTTTTTAAAATAAAGTCTTAATACCTTTCTGCTTCAGAATTTTAAAAATATATTTAGGACTAATTTAACAAATGCCACTTTACTCTGCATGTTATAATTTTTACATTGAAGTGATCCAATTAAACAATTCTGTCTGAATGGGAGCTACCTCAAATTCAGAAGATCAAGAAAAAGTGAATATACAATTTAAATTTACAATATATATACATGTATGATAATTTACCTGATGTCCAAGGAACTTCGAAGATTCTCAGGTTGTTAAAAAGTGTTTCAGAACATAATTCACCCTTCAACAATGCATATGGATTACCATCCAATTTTATGAAGTTGGAATGCACCACTTCCAATTGGTTTTCAAATTCTTTCTTTAGAGACTAAATACAAGCATACAACTAGAGGTTAACCAAAACATCTGAAATAGCCTTTCTCTGGGCTATTCTCTTCATGTCAATTACTTTCTGCTTAAACTGTTGCTGTCTCTTCAACTATCACTCAGATTGACCATTGGATGTCATAATCCAGAAATATCAGAAGGTTTTCTAGCCTTGCTTTAAGATGAAAGTGCAGGAATTTATAATGGGAATAAGACAATACCTACCTCTAAATTAGGAAGAAATGATTTATTACTCTCCAGAGCTATGACGTGGGCTCCAGTATTAAGCAGTTTTCGAGTCAACACTCCAGGACCTAAAAATAGCCATTGTTTAAAACTCTATTCTAGAATTTATTTAAAAAGCTCTATTTTTAAGAGAAATATCAATCAAAACATTCTAACTGAAAATTGAAAATATGCATGTTTATCTATAAAGACACATCAGGTACTGCCTAATCCTAAAAGGAGGGAAGAAACAAATATTGTTCAGCTGCCATGGTTTGAAAAAAAACAACCATGATCAAGAAAGAGGTAACACTATTTAAAGTGCCATTTGCCATTATATTCCTCCAAGTGGTGACTCCCAATTCAATCTGCTATCAGAGAAATAGCTTTAGTGCCTGTGTTATCCCAGATGTGTATGTGTTCCTGAAACCCCAAAATTATCTTCTTTTAAAAAAGACAGTCTGACAACGACTGAAATTCTATGAAATAGCCAAATCCCACTCGCTCTCCATTCTTTTGCATGAAAGCTAGCAAGATATAGCAGTTTCATGGTATTTCAAATTTTTCATTTTAATTTTTAGTGGACGCAACAATATCTGAAAAGATTGCTGGGTGTTTTTTATGTAACTGAAGGAGCAATAGAAACAGCTTTTCCAACATGGATAATTTTCTTCCTCTGTTGTACAGTATTTTACTAAATAATATTTTTATGCAAGTCAGTTCATGAGACCTGTCAGAACAGGTTTCAAGTGACTTATAAAAAAGAACATTGCCTTTTCAATAATTGCATAATGATGCAAGCCACTTAAAATACAGTACAAAAAGGTTAAGACAAAAATGTATCAGTTAAACTTATCCATTTATTTATGGACAGAGATCACCTTCAACTCAATGAGAGTTATGTTCAAGTGAAGCTGTTGTAAGATTGTAAAGTTACACAGAGGATATGATTCAAGAAGTGCACAATATGAATTTTCAGTAATATAAAATTATTAGTTTAAAAATTAGAATCTGTGAAGTTCTTGATCTTCTCAACTTGGTTGTTTGTGTTCATTACCCATCAGTGCTTCAGTGATAATGTTTTCTAGTTGGCGAATGATATGTTTGCAAGCCAACAAGTTCAAGAGAGCACCAAGGACACCACAGTCCTATTCCGCGCTACGGTACATATATTTTCTTCTATTGAAAAACATAATCTACGGCACACCGATTGCTATTGCAGCACAATGGGGATGGATGCCAAAGCTACCAAGCAGTACCAAGCACCTAGAAGTCACCCTTTCTCTAATATTGCAGCAAATCTGGTGAATTCCTCCTCGCAGCTTAATGTCAACTTTATTGTCATCACATCACCTCCGAGGTCACATGCTTAACTTTTACCTTTTAAAAAGGGTCCCCTTAAGTAACGCTCACCTGCCTCGAATTCTAGAAGGTAGGTTTTGGACTGCTCCAAATTTCGTCCCCTCGTCAGCTGGGAGGCCACTTTACGCGCTGACAGGGGGCAGGCGAGAAACCTTCGATCTGAGGTCGAATCCCGCTCTGCGTTTGCGACCATTTCGGCGATTTCACCTTTCAGAGAATCGTTTTTTTCCAGGTTGTGGAGTCCGAGTCTTACACTCTGACCCTTCAGGCCCCGCACCGAGGAGCGTAAAGTCGAGGCGGCCAGGGTCAACTGCCGTCCCCCGAAGAGAGGACAAATCGACGCAACGAAAGTCATCTTCGCGCTTTAGCGCTGATTTCTTTTTTTCTTTTTCTTTTTAAACAAGGCGAGGGCCAGCCCTCACGTGGCGACCTTGCAGAACTCGACAGCGAGCGCAGTTTCCACCCGGACAATTTCAGCGTCGGAGCGCCACCGGCGGTTCTGTTTCCTCCGAGCGTTAACGAGCTGTCGCCGGGGTTGACGTTCTAGCCTTCCGTTTTCATGGCACGGACCCCTCTAGGCGTATGGTACTCGGTGGCGCACACCTTTGGCTTCTGACGCTGCACCCGGGAGTCTCCCGGCGAGTGTCTCTGGTTTCTTTGCGTCCCGTTCCTTCTCTCCGGCTTCCCGATTTGGCTCTGCCGGAGCGAGGGGCTGCCTGGAACTCTGGAGAAGGTGGCTGCAGGCTGAGGTGAGAGAAGGAAAGCGACGAGGCTACTCTCCCTAGTTTACCGCAGCCCCGGGCGGGCGAGCTGGGTGGGCAAGAGTGAGGTCGTGGTTCAGCTGCGTGCTGCATTTCAAGTCTTGGTGAAGTCGAGAGCTGGTCCCGACCGTAAAGGGGAAGCGACAAACCGGGTCGGATCGTTAAGCATGGTCGGGGATGGCACGGGAATCTCCTTCGCCGCTTGGGCGGAGGGGAAGCTTATTATCAGCCCGGGCAAGGACTAGGAAGAGCCGCCGGATGTTTTCATCAGAAGAAAACATTAAAGGTTGGACGTGTCGGATTCCGGTCTTGTTAACCTTCTGCCCCTCTGCTTCTGCCTTGTCGGTCTGGTATTCATAGTGGGTCAAGGCAGTCGCGACCACCTCGCGTATCAACATAGATTTCCTGTTTGGGTTGGCGGGAGAGAAAGAGAGAGAGAGAGAAACTGTTGATTTTTTTCTCTCTCCCAAGTAATCAGAGTAAGGGGCAATCCACTCTGAAGCCCAGCTAAGGCGACTACCTTCTTTATTATACTTGTGACTCATTCTTTTCTCCAGAGGTCACAGGGATGGCTGTTGTGGGGGTTGTTATCCCCAGATGAGTACACTATGTCTCCTGGGGGTGGGGGAGAGGACTGGATTAGATAATCTTAGTGGTCTTTTCCAACCCTATAGTTTTATGAGCCTATGTGTGATAACCTGCTAGTGTACAAAATTGGATTACATATTAATGGTTGCTTTTTCTGAATGGTTGCTTATTCTGCGGCTTATTTAACCGATTTTCAAAAGGTACACAGAAAATACAGGTGCCTATTTTAATGAAAGATACATGAAGAAGAAAACAAGCCTGAGGTTTGAAGGAGATACACACACACACACACACACACACACACACACACACACACACACACATAGAGTTGACATTGTTCAAATGCAGTGTGCACACTATTGTACTGGGGTACTTCTGCATGAATCATTATTTGAAAACATGAACAACATAAGGGATAGTAACAGAGACAGTCTGAGTACAGACAGAGTAACAGTCCTGAATTATACGTTCATTTCCTATCTTTTGGGAAATGAAGTATTAATAGAGTTCACAAAAAAAATCTTAAGCCAAAAGGCAGTTTGCTACTTTGTAACTCAGAATGTCATGGGAACCCAGGCAGTGTTTTCGGTTTATGATGCATTATGCATTATGATGTATTGATCCAGCCAGTTGATTAATTTAGTAAACCATAGTAGACTCAATCATGGTTTAGTGTTTTTTGCAAAAAAGGTTTATATATGTAGACCTTCCTTTGTGCAGGCTTTCTCAAAGATCCAGAGAAGTTCAGGCTACTTCCCGTTTTTAAAATTAAAATAAGGCACCAAGAAAAGGTGAGCATAATTTGAATATTTTTGAAATAAAAAAATAGATACCGATTTATGGAACTACAAATGCCCTTCTACTCTTTTCTCACTTATCTTACCTTTGGGTCTAGCACAAAAACAAAAAACATTGATAGAAAACGAACTTCCTCTTGTATCAATTTGTACAAATTTGTACAAATGCTATGGTTTATTGGAAGGCAGGCGGAGTTTTTAATTTTTTTTTCTACTAACCACTACATTGTAAATTTTGTACCTTAGTAAAAGGCTGCTTCAATTGCCATGAAAATTATTCACAATCCTGTATTACTCACATTGAGGTTTTCTTTTGTTGGCATTTTCTTCTTTGCTAGGTCAATTTTAAAGTTAATTAAAACCAGAAAAGTTTGTAGAGTGGCATTGCTAAATGGATAAATCATTTGTGAATATTGTATTTGTCTTCATAGTTTGTTGTAAAAGTTTGAAGATTGTATCATATCACTTGTATAAATATGCCAAATATTTGACATAGATCTTGGGTTTTTTTAATTGAAGCTTTCACATTTGATTAAGAAAGAAGTTTAATTTCAGAATTGGCAATAATCTTGAGGTAGAGTATGATATGTGTCTTGGTCTTGTATGATATATATGTATTTAAGGTGTATCTGATGGCTGGAGTTAACAGATTCATTTTGTTCATAATTAAGATATTTGTTAAAGGGGAATCCAGAAATGGATTATTACTTGTGAATAGGATTTACAGTGGTTGACCTCATGTTCCTTTTTTATTTATTCTATCTTTACAGTGAAGCAAATTTTGTGTTCATTCTATTGCATAGGGTATATTATTGCATGTTGCAGTATTTTACTATCTCATTATTAAAACTGTAGTAAAGAATTGTTAGGTTTTGGAAGAAGGCAGAGCCTCCTCACTGATGGACCATAGATTGCGGCTCTCTGCGGTTATGGTCCGTGCTCTTTTGTTGGAGAGCCGTGATTATTACAATTAGGGGCTGAAGCTGCCTTGGAGGGGTGGCGGAGTAAGGGGAAACCACAAGCCAGGTTGAGGGGAGCCTCATCTCCCCCCCTGGGCTTGGTCTTTTTCCCCCTGAAGACGACTGCGACGGTGGTTTAAAATGGCCACCCTGAAGAGGAGGACTCAGCTGGATTAAGATTTGTGCAGGAGGGAAGAAAGAGGTGAATAACATCTGAACCGGGACAACTGGGCAATACAACTAAACAAAAGTACCCCGGATTAAGGTAACATGGAATTTTTAAGAAAAGAAAAGTGAGCGGCGAAATTACAAAGGGACAGAGGAAAAAAAAGAAAATATTTTTGACAGCTAAGTGGGGCTTCAAACCAGGAAAGGAAGAAGCTGGAACTAAAGATTTAACTAAATTGGACTAAAATATTTTGGGAATAAACAGGCATAAAATAAAGCTGGACTTAAGATTGTCAAAAAATAATAATAATAAAGTTTACAAATTAGAGACTGGACTGTGCTGGAATATTGAGGTTCGAAAAACCCTAAATAAAAAAATAGGGGGAAAAGGTGAAGACTTTGTATAATGGAGAATGCCACCTTTTGACAAAAACTTGAGCTCAAACAAAAGGGAAAGCATCCTGTTTCTGAATGAACTTGTGCGGATATAACATTAAAGAAATATTGAAACAAAGTAAGAATCTTAGAAAGTGAAAGCAGAACCAGAATAAAGAAAAAAGCAAGGAAAGACTGACTGTGAGATTGATTGATGTTTTTGGTATAGACCCTTGGCTAGAATAACTGAGAACTTTAGAAAATTGAAAGAAGAAAGAAGGAAAGTAAAAGTGGTTTTTTTTTGTGGACTTTAACAATCATAAAATACAAGAGTGTGTAATGATGATATCTCTTCGGGAATTAAAAATGGAACTTAAAAATATGAGAGAATTACTATAGGAAAGAGGCGAATCACTTTGCTCTGTGTTAGAAAAAAATGGAAATGGCGATTGAAGAACAAGAAGAAAGAGCTTCAGAGGAGGAAGAGTCGATTCAAGGAGAAGACATTTTAAATAGACAATTAACACAAAGAACACTACAAAGAAGTGGAGAAAGAAGGAAGATTAAAAAGTTGAAATTTAAGAAGGCAATAAAAAGGGGGAATACTTGTGAAGTCAGGAAAGGCAGAAAGACCCAGCAGAAAAGGGGAAAGGAAGATATTAAGAAAGAGAGGGATATAAACTGGAATGAGAAAAGATATGGGGAAAAGAGGGGGAGGAGAAGCAGTAAGAAACAGGTGCATGAAATAAAGAAATACGGAAATAGTAAAATGTTGAAAAATTGTTTTTTCAGAGATAATGGTTGATGAATTAAAAAGGGGATTCTGCAGGGTGACAAGGGGTAATAAGAATATTTCTGCAATTAAAAATATTTAGAAAATAGGGTAATATAGATACTGATAACTCCTATTAAAAATCAAGGGGGAAAAATATGCTGCGGAATCCAAATGAAAAGATGTAATGATTGTTATTGTAACTTCTTTTATATTCTGAAGAAAATGGATTTAAGTTAAATCCATTTCATCAAAACAGAAATCTGTTAGGTAACAAGATAGCCTCCTTAAAAGAAAGAATTTCATACCTTGGCATTTTCACAAAGACTTGCCCTTCTCACATTATCATGATCAAGTTATGTGTTTTCAGTTGCTGGGATATGAGTGATCCTTAATGCTTTGCATTCTTTCTTTCTTTTCTTTAGATAGGTTATTTATTTAGAAAGGGTTTTGCTTTCTGAAAGAAGTCAGTAAAGTTACAGTAATTTATGAAGACTAAAGATTATATCATTTTAATAAATCAAAAAGGATTGGTACTATGTTCCACTTATTCTGATCTTATAGCAGATTTCTAACCAAGGCATTTATTATTTTAATGTATTAACATCTATATTTCTTACTTTTTTGGTAGATAGAACTGATGCTAGATAAAGCTATTGAGAAAATTCAGATTTTTTTTAATATAAAGAAGCACAAACATCTTATTTTTACAGAAGGAAATTGGAATTTTTAATAATCATAAAAATATTCTCTTGGTAATTAAAAATACTGATAAACGGGTAGTAATGTATAAATCTTTTTGGCAGTAGATGAAATTGGAGGATAATTCAGAATGTTTCATTTTAAAACAAAGTATTAACTTCTTTAAACTAATACTAGCAAATGTAGTGTTATGTTTGCAAAATACAAAATATTGATTGAAATAAAAGGTGGGAACTGTGAAGGTTGAGAAGTCCCTGAAGCCTGCCAAGAACTAAATTGCAAGGTTAGTTGCTGTCCATCTGCAAGTTATGAATGCACCTACTAGGATTCACAGTTGAGTACATATCTGTAATAATGTTGTAGAAGATTATGTATCTTAAATCAGGCCCCAGTCCACATGTTGGAAATCAGAACTGTAAAGCCATATTTATAGAATCAATAGGGAATCCAAATTGAACCAGTCTCAGGAACATATTCTTCATCCCTTAATTCATCACATTCAACAAAAGTGACCGACATCCTTTCTAGATCATTGGTTCCCCTGACAGACTACCCTTAAAATGCCTTTTCCCAACTCTTAAGATTTTTTTTCCATATTCATTTGGAGTCATCTTGTATTTAAAACTT